AGGAAAACTGAGGCACGGAGAGGGAAACTGAGGCATGGAGAGGGAAACTGAGGCACTGAGAGGGAAACTGATGCACCGACAGGGAAACTGAGGCACTGAGAGGGAAACTGAGGCACTGAGAGGGAAACTGAGGCACACAGAGGGAAACTGAGGCACTGAGAGGGAAACTGAGGCACGGAAAGGAAAACTGAGGCACGGACAGGGAAACTGAGGCATGGAGAGGGAAACTGAGGCTCTGAGAGGGAAACTGAGGCCCGGAGAGGGAAACTGAGGCACTGAGAGGGAAACTGAGGCACGGAGAGACATCCCAGAGCGCTCACACCAGCTCGTGACTAAGAAGGATCACCCCAGGGCTGGCTGCATGGCTCTGCTCCTGTCACGCAGCAGGAGGACCTGGTCCCCACCACCCAACCTGGCTGTGAGACCCCCCCAACCCCCTGCCAGCTGTGTCCTTACAGAAAACCGGGATGAGAATTCAAAAGCACCCCCAGGAAGCTCTAGAGAAGGGAAACTCTCGGATGAGGATGAGGATGAGGATGGGGATGAGGATGGGGATGAGGATGAGGATGGGGATGAGGATGAGGATGGGGACGGGGATGAGGATGAGGATGAGGATGAGGATGGGGATGGGGATGAGGATGAGGATGAGGATGGGGACGGGGATGAGGACGATGAGGATGGGGATGAGGAAGGGTGGCCAGAGCTGGGATTGACAAGGAGAGGAGGGAGATTAGGGTCTGGCAGGACGGGAACCCCCATGGAGCACCGCGCACTCACCCCGGAGCCACTTCCCAAACTCGGCAGAGCCCAGAGCGAGCCCGGGAGCGAAAGGGAAAGAGAAAGCGAGGGCAGGGCAGGAAGAAAAGGCCCGGCGGGTGCCAGGAGCCGGGGGCAGCTGGAAGCAAAGCCCGGCCCGGGCGCGGGGCGAACAAGGCGGGCTCTGTGCGGGAGCCGCACGCCAGCGCGGGCACGGGGGCACCGCGCCCGGCACAGAGCGGCCCTTGTTCCCCGGGACAAAGGGGACGGCGGAGGGTGGGGGATGCCGGGGCTCGGGGAGCCGCCCCAGCCCCCGGGGATCTCCACGGAGCCGATTTCCCACGCGGGGATGGGATGTGGGAGGTGCTGCGGGGCTCCGGAGCGCAGCAGCAACAGCATCCTGTGCATCCTCACAGCATCACCCCGTGCATCCTCACAGCATCACCCCGTGCATCCTCACAGCAACAGCATCCTGTGCATCCTCACAGCATCACCCCGTGCATCCTCACAGCATCACCCCGTGCATCCTCACAGCATCACCCCGTGCATCCTCACAGCATCACCCCGTGCATCCTCACAGTAGCAGCACCATGTGCATCCTCGCAGCAGCATCACCCCGTGCATCCTCGCAGCATCACCCCGTGCATCCTCACAGCATCACCCCGTGCATCCTCACAGCAGCAGCATCCTGTGTATCCCTGCAGCAGCATCCTGTGCACCCTTGCAGCATCACCCCGTGCATCCTCACAGCATCACCCCGTGCATCCTCACAGCATCACCCCGTGCATCCTCACAGCATCATCCCGTGCATCCTCACAGCAGCAGCATCATGTGCATCCTTGCAGCAGCATCACCCTATGCACCCTTGCAGCATCACCCCGTGCATCCTCACAGCATCACCCCATGCATCCTCACAGCATCATCCCGTGCACCCTTGCAGCATCACCCCATGGACCCTTGCAGCATCACCCCCTGCACCCTTGCAGCATCACCCCATGCATCCTCACAGCAGCATCACCCCGTGCATGCCCGCAGCATCACCCCATGCATCCTCACAGCATCACCCGTGCATCCCCGCACCGGAGGCAAAGGAGGAGCTGCGAGGGGAAGGGGCAGGGAGGGGAACAGAGAAATCCGGAGGGTTTTGCTGCTCAATGCGAGCTCAGGGATGGAGGCGCCTCGGCAGCCACCCGGAGCCGGTGCCGCGCCTTCCCCGGAGGGGAAACGAAATCAAGGCAGCGGCAAAGGCTGACAGCGCTCCAGAGCAGCTACTGAGCATCCAGGGGAAGGGAATTAATGAGCCACGGTGGGTGGCCCCAGGGGGATGGGAGCCCGGAGCCGGGGATGCGCCAACAGCCCTGGAGGGATGAGAAATGGAACCCCGGAGAAGACCCCAGGGAGAGCCCCCGGAGGATGCAACAAGGCTGAATTACGGGGGAAACCCAGGCTGATGCCCACGGGGGATGCACAACCCCAAACCAAGGCTGAATTACGGGGGAAACCCAGGCTGATGCCCACGGGGGATGCACAACCCCAAACCAAGGCTGAATGAAGGAGGGAACCCACGGCTGATGCCCACGGGGGATGCACAACCCCAAACATGAAGGGAAGGGCGAGGGAGAAGGGCTGGCACCCGTGGGTGTCACAGGAAGGGTGCCAAGGCACAGCCACCCACAACACAGCACCCACTGAGCCCTGCTGGCCCCCCTGCCACCACCCAGCCTGGCTGCAGGAGCCCCCCAAAAAATGTGGGTGGGAGAGGCAAAAGCTCCCGAGAAGAGCTGCAGAAGTGAGGATGAGGGTGAGGAAGGGTGGGGAAATCAGGTCAGGTTTAAAATAACCCCTTTGGTTCTGCTCGGCTTCCCCCCCAGCCCCCAAAATGCTGAGCAGCTTCTGCTTTCGCTGTGAGTCAGCCCCGGCAGGAGGGCGGCAGAGGGACAGGACGGGGACATGGGCCCACGTCCCACCCTGGGGACACATCCCAGCCTCCCCTGATCCATGGGGAATGGCAGCTCTGGCCTGTAATTCCTGGGAGGTCACCCCGTGGTTCTCCCACTGAACCAGAGCGATCCCAGCACCAGTGGGAGCTCCAGACTGGTTCTTACTGGGAGAGCCCAGGCTAGCCTTGTCCATGGAGGCTGCAACACCCACAAAAAAATCAATTCTCCAGCTTTTTCCCCCCTTTGAGGACAGCTGGGAACCCTTTGAAGAAGCTGGAGGGGCAGGAGAGGGAGGGAACAAGGGTGGGGAGATAGAAAAATCAGGAGAGGTTTCCCAGGCTCATCCTGGTGGGACGCCTGGAGTGGGAGACGGAGCAGTTGGGAAGGGGACGGAGGGGTGGAAAATCAGGGAAAATCCGGATGATCCCAGCTCCTCTCCAGAGCTGACTCCGCTTTTCCAGCCCGGAGGAGCACAGGAGAAGTTCTCCAGCAGCACCCCCAGCGCCAGGGCAGGGCTGGAGCCAGGGAATGCATCTCCCAAAAAATGTCTGCGCTGCTGCTCAGCACCCGCTTATTTCTGGCCTTTCCTCAGTTTCCCTCCGGGCTGTTGTACCAGCAAGAACCCAAGGCCCAGATGGTGGCACTGGCGGTGGCCCTGATGGTGGCACTGGTGGTGGCCCTGATGGTGGCACTGGTGGTGGCTCCAGCTGGAGGGTCCCCAGAGCTGCTGCAGCCCCCCCAGCACTGCACAGAGCCCCGAGCTGTCCCCCAGCCCTGCGGGGCTGTGACAGCCACTGGTGGTGTGGGGACATCTGCAAGGACATCTATGGGGACATCTGCGGGGACATCTATGGGGACACCTGCAGGGACACCTGAGGGGACACCTTTGGGGACATCTATGGGGACACCTCAGGGGACACCTGCAGGGACACCTGAGGGGACACCTGAGGGGATACCTGAGGGGACACCCCCCTTCGATGCCCGGGGGCCAAGCTGGTGACAGAGCCACTGCCTGGGTGCCACTGAAGGGACACCCCACCCGCAGGAGCCACAGCCGTGTCCCCAGGCCCAGGTGTGTCCCCAGGCCCAGGTGTGTCCCCAGGCCCAGGTGTGTCCCCAGGCTCAGGTTTGGCCGAGAAACCCAAACTGCCCCGGGGCAAATTCCAGATTCAGCCCGGGGATCGCCTTACCCTGCCAGGGGAGGTGGCACCGGGCACCCCTGCGAGTGCCACACGCCTCCTGCCACCCCTGAGTGCCACACGCCTCCTGCCACCCGAGTGCCACCCCTGAGTGCCACACGCCTCCTGCCACCCCTGTGAGACCCCCAGTCACTGTAGCCACCTCCGCCCCTCCTGTGTTTCATTCCCCGCTCCACCGGGGCCGTTCAGGAGTGGAAAATCCCATCAGCAGCTCCAGGCAGGAGTGGGGACCCTGGGGACAGGGCAGGGACCTTGTGCCCACCCAGAGCCCCTCTGGGCTGGCACCGAGGGGCAGCGAGAAGGAAAAGGAGAAGAAAGAAGTGAAACCAGCTCTGCTGCTCGCCCGGCCCGGCCTCCCCTTCCTCCTCCTCCTCCTCCTCCTCCCTCCCTTCCTTCCGTGGGTTTCGTTCCCAAACCGGGCTGGGGAGGGACAGGGGGTGGCACGGAGGGACACCAGGGACCCCAGCCCAGGGTTTGCTCTGATGTCACCGAGCTGTCACCTCATCACACACCACAGAGCCAGCCCAGGCGTGTCCCAGCCTGGGGACGGGCTCTGCTGCCACCCTGCTGTGTGGGGACAGGGGACAGCGGGGCTGGGGTGCAGAGCAGGGGGGCTGGGGGACACTGCAGGGGCCAGCAGGTCACAGAGGGGTTTGGGGACCCTGCAGGTGCCAGAGGGGTTTGGGGACCCTGCAGGTTTCAGGTCACAGAGGGGTTTGGGGACCCTGCAGATGCCACCAGGTCACACAGGGTTTGGGGACACTGCAAGTGGCCAGGAGGTCACAGAGGGGTTTGGGGACCCTGCAGGTGCCAGAGGGGTTTGGGGACCCTGCAGGTTTCAGGTCACAGAGGGTTTGGGGACACTGCAGGTACCACCAGGTCACACAGGGTTTGGGGACACTGCAAGTGGCCAGGAGGTCACAGAGGGGTTTGGGGACCCTGCAGATGCCACCAGGTCACACAGGGTTTGGGGACACTGCAGGTTTCAGGTCACAGAGGGTTTGGGGACACTGCAGGTACCACCAGGTCACACAGGGTTTG